TTTTCTGCATCTCTTACCACCTCTGCAGTAGAGAAAAGTTTGAGTCCAGTGCGCACAAAAGCTCATACCCAGAATTAAACTTTGTTGGTCTTAAAGGGGCCACTGGACTCAAACTTTGTTCTGGTGCTTCAGGCCAAGACGGCTGCCCCACCTGACTCCGCCTCTGCAATGCCATTTGCACACAAAGGCATTTCTGTACTGGGGAGCCCTTTTCTAATGATTCCCAGCATGGAATCTGGCAAATGAAGGGGGAAAAAGGAGTGAGGAGGGAGAAGACTGGTGTCACTTGAGCCTCCAGCCATCTTCTGCGGACACCTATTTTTCTATGTGCTAGAGTGTACCAACCTGCAAAGGAGGTTGACTGCTGTGTCTCTGCATGCTTCCCTGCACTGGCTTGGCCTTTGCTGGAGGTAGACTCTTCTGCTGCCTCTGCGCATGGGCCATCGTTCATCCAGTGTCTTACAGTGGTGAATAGCCTGAGTTACGAATCGGGCAGTCTGTGGTGTGAATTTTACCACTCCTACTTAATTCTCTTGGTAGCCTTCGGCAAGCTAATTTCTCTCTCTGTCTCAGCACCCCACCTGGAATATGAGGATACTTTTATCGGTGGCTCAAGTGGTTAAGACGCTGAACTGCAGGCTGTGGAAGGTCGGTAGTTCAGCAGTTCGAGACCTGAGTGTGCCGCATGACGGAGTGAGCTCCCGTCTCTAGTTCCAGCTCCTGCCAACCTAGCAGTTCGAAAGCAAGACATTGCAAGTAGATAAATAGGTACCACTTCGGTGGGAAGGTCACAGCGTTCTGTGCGCCTTGGTGTTTAGTCATGCCGGCCACATGACCACGGAAACGTCTTCGGACAGCGCTGGCTCTTCGGCTTTGAAACAGAGATGAGCACCGCAACCCTAGAGTCGGATTCGACTGGCTTTCGAGCAAGGGAACCTTTACCTTTTACCTTATAGGGCCAGGATTACAATAAGATAATGACATGCATGAAGGGCTTTGAATACATAGGACTTTGACTGTGAGCTGAAGTTTGTTTCAGTTCGAGGCCAACCCATAATACCTCCTCTGTTGGCCATAGGTGGGATTTAGCATTTTGGCAAGCAATGGAGACCTAAGGAACTTTCTCTTCTAGTACAAATATCCAATCCATCTCAATGGGGGAGGTACAAAGAAGTCTTTTCCTGTTTTGTGTGCCGTCATGGCAAATCTTTTCATTTTGCCTATTTTTGCTGCTGTGCATTCCTGATTTTGTTTGCTTTTTTATCCTATTTCTATGCAATTGACGGAAAAGAAAAACCAATTATATATTTAACAGGGGGGGAAATGATGCAAGGAAACAGAACATGATGCAAAGCTTAAGAGTCACGTGTTCCGTTTGCACAACACAAAAATGAAAAAAGGGAGGCTTTAAAGTCCAAATAGAGTTGCAAAATTCGCTAGCATTCCTAGCCTCAAACCAAGACACTTTCTAGGCTTTTCTCTTTGTAGGATCTTCAGCTCTGGGTTGAAGAATTCCTGAATATTTGGGGGTGGAGCCTGGGGCAGGCAGGGTTTGGAGAAAGAAGGGACCTCTGCAGAACCTGTCCTCCAGAGCAGCCATTTTATCCAGGGGAACTGACTGACCTTGGTCATCTAGAAATCAAATGTAATAGAGGGAGACCTCCAGGTGCCTCCTGGAAGCTGGCAACCCTGTCTTTGTGATGCCGAGGTGGGCATGTGGCTCCCCTTAGACTGACATGCTCTGAGAGCCGAAGGACAGGATGGGAAAAGGGGGAAAAAAACTGAACCTAAAACTTAGAATTCAGAACCTAAAAAGGTTAGTCAAGGATAGAAGAGGGCCAACTCTAAAAATCATACAAAAATATACATATATTTATTACACGCAAATTAAAATGACAAAGAAGGGCCCATTCATACCTCACAAACAAATATATATATATAAAAACATACAAGGGCTAATGAAGTAGACCTAACGCGTTTCGGCCTTTACAGGCCTTCCTCAGAGGTCTAATACATATAGAATATATAGGCTGGTATATAAAAATATAGGCAATCATACATATCCAAAATATGCAATAAAGACCAGAGATCAGTTGTTCCAAA